TCCTTCAACTCTGAGGTGCAATTCTTTATCAATTTCAAAGAACCTTTCTTTTATTCGAACTCTTTCCTTTTTTAAAAAAATAAAAAAATGAAATAAAATAAATTATCATGTCGCATATAAGTGAAATAATTTTTGTTTTTAATATCCACGAGCATACGTAATATTATAAACGATTTAAGGATATGAGTTCTCTTAATATTCCTTTTCCAAAAAATAAGAAGACTTCTCTTTATGTAATTATAAGTACAATCTAAATTCAACGATGTATATTCAAGAAATATGAAATAACTACATTTTAAAATTACATAAATGTTGATGTATAAGTATCCATAAGCAAGTAATATGAGTGTCGAACCTTAAGCCAAAAAAAATTGTATTGCTTGATCATTTAAAGAACTTACCCTACACATTGATGAGTCTCCATCATAATATAAAGAACTTTAATTTAGAAAAAGAAGAAGTTGATATTTTATTCTTATTGCTTGATAATTTAAATAACCTACCGTACAAGTTGAAGAGTTAATCCTTATTGCTTGACAATTTAAAGAAGTTACCACATTAAGTAGTTAGCCCTTTAGACGAAGGAAGTTCCATAGCACAAGTCTTTCTTTTATTCTCCATTATGCATTCCAAAACAAATAAAGAATATAAACTATGGTATAGTCCGCCATAATTGTAAGACGAATTGAATGAGCTATGATTGTAAGACGGCAAGTAGTCGAGTGCCTTCATGAAAAATAATAAAGTCAAAATTTGGCAACAAATAATCTCAAAGCCAGGAAAACAAATGAATATGATGGAGTCATTCAAAGGATGATCGCTGTGTTAGATCGACTTTAAGTCGCGACACCAATCTCAATTCCTGAAGGTTTTGTGTTCTTCACTTTTGGCATTTGAGCTTGTAGCTTTGGCATTTTGTAGGGCAGTTGATGATGTTTACTTGGTGGAAGTTGGGTTGTGAGTCTTATAAACGCTTCTAGACATGGCTGTGCATTATTTATACAACTTGATTGGATAAGGTTAGTAATTGAGGCCTTATAACCAAAGGAAAATGAGATTTAGCCCTCTAGTCAATACACATGGTGTAGTATATACCTAACATGTAACACTATTCTTCATAGCATTTCTAGCCTTACTCGTATTTGAAATTATCAGCGTTTCTTTTTAGGAAACTCAAATTTTCCATTGGAAATATTCATTCCTTAATTATAAGATAAGGCATTTGTTTTAATTTAAGAAACTTTAATTGTTGAAGTTTTATGTTTCTTATAGGTGTAATTAGGAATAGGCCTATAAAAGGATTATGAAATTTTCTAACCAAATACCATATTCTTTTTTATATGATATTTCTCATATTTCTTTCTTCTTATTCTATTATTGCCTCTTATGCATGCTCATGAATTTGCATATCAATCAAACTAAGTAATGGATGAATACTCAATCTTATTTTTGAGAATGGATTCATATTTGATTTCGGATGAATTTTTAATCCTATTTTTCCTATTTTTATTAACCGGATCAAATATAATTCTATCTTTTAGTTTTTACCCTGAGAGAAACTATATTTAGAAGCGGATGGAGTTAAAACAGATTTTCTTATAAAGTATAATCTAAAGAGAAATATCATTCTAAATTTGTTGATTGATGATATACATGTATGCACACAAATATAATACATAGCATATCACTAGTGCAAGTGTAATGGATATATTTTGGTTGATAACATAAAAAGTGTATTTGATTTTTGAGTGTTCTTGATTTATACTATGGATGAAATGTTATTTTATAATTGAAGCTACAAAGCTAAAGTATGTTAATCAAACAATTTCATAATTACTACAACAATAATAAAATCTTAAAGTCCCAACTATTTAGGATGGATTATATGATTTTTTTTACGTAATAGATCACATCCATATTTAAACTAAGAGTATTTAAATATTTATTTATAGTTTATAATAAAATATTTTTAAGCTTTCATCTATCTCTTTTCATATAACTAATGTAATAATTTCACATCTTCTAATTTATAGGTCTCTTTAACAAATATTTCTATCATCTTAAAATGTTCTCTATTATCTTATTCTGAAGCTATCCAAATTATTAACAAATAAGAATTTTTCTTTCTCTTAGTAACTCCATATATCTATCTCAACATTCTCATCTTAGCTTCATATAAATTTAGCTCATCATCAAAATTATAATAAATTCAAAATATAGAACATTCTATTTTCATTTCGAATTACTTTTCAGTATATATATATATATATATATATATATATATATATATATATATACATATATATTACATGATCAATGTTGATCACTAATAAAAAAATAATGATCATTAGTGTAACGTGAAGAAATTGACCTGACCTATTTTATTTTAGTAGAATTATGAGAAAATACCCATAACTTTGATATTTTCACGCATAGCACTTCTACTTTGAAAAATACCCTAACAATGTCCCTTGACGAGCTATTTTATATATTTAAACATTGATAACTAAGTCTAAAGTTTTTTTCACCCAAAACAGTGGGTTTAGAGTGACACTTTGTTGGCCAGTTTGAGTTGAAATAGTTTAATAATTTTTTTACTAAGAAAACTTATAAAGTAGCTATGTGGTGCTGTTTTCCTATTACTGCTGATATTGATAAAGGAGCAAAAACTAATTTTCTCTTTTTTTGTTTTTCGTCTCCTTTTTGTTTGTCTTTCTCCTTTCTTCTGGGTTGTTTTTCTTTACTTTCTCTTTTATTTTTTTATTTTTTCTTGAATCAAGAACACAAAAAATATCACAAAGTGTATCATTGTCTTTGTTATTCTTCGATCATTTAATAGTTATTTAGACAAGATAAAATATGTATATATTGTATATTCATGAATATTATGGTATTTAAATCATGGGTTTTCATAAATAATATAGTATTTAAATTATTTTCCTTGTTTAATATTTATTGTTAAATCTATAAGCTTGTAAAGAAACATTACAGGTATCAAAGATTTTCATGCTATACTTTCATGTAAGCCAAAAACAGTGAGCTTACAAAAAAAATTGCATATATCTTTGTTACTATTCTTTGTTTTTTACAAAAAATAATACATCATATATTATTTAAAAAATTATGACTAATTTTTTACCAAGTGTTTGGGATCTAACTAGAAAGTCGAATATCAAAAACTGAGTGCATTTTTTTAGAAAATTATAAAAATATATTTAAACATTAAAAAATAGCACATTGTAGAAGATCTGAATAATTTGTATAAAAATAAAAAAATTCTCTAAGATAGAAAAACACTAATATATGTGGATCCAATTCAAAGGTTTCCTAAAACTTTTAAGATATTTTAAGATGTCCTGATATACGATATAATATTTTTAGATTTTAGTCAAAAACAATGCATCGCATATTAATAAAAAAAATTTAGGCCAAATTTTTGCTTAGTATTTGGGACCTAAATAGATGGTCAAATGTAAAAATAAAAAAAAAAATACACGAGTGAATGATATATATATATATATATATATATATATATAGTTGATCATTAACCAAAAAAAAAAAAAAAGGTCATCAACGTAATGTGGCAAAATTGATCCAACATATTTTATTTTTACATCAGAGAGAGAGAGAGAGAATATGTTCTGAGCCGGAGGGATCAGTAGAAATTCATCTTATTTAAAAAAGGTACTCAGTATCTCGTTTCAATCTATTTTAAAAAGGATTATGATAAGATTATATCTAGCAATAAACCTTCGGTTAAGTTAATATTCACTCATCACAGCATAAAAACACATATGAGTTCAAAGTGGAGAGATTGCTTTATACATTGATAATTTTGTAACTATCAGGTGTCAGGCACTTCTTTTTATTTTATCTAGAGTGGATGCATTAGCACAAATGAAATATTTTGATCATGTGGGACAGTTCAATTTTTTTTTTCTTTTATCCTATACGATTGCATAATGCATAAAAGAGATACTTCATTTAAATCAAATGCTGTAGATAATTTTATGACCTCAACAAATGCATTTTGCACATATATATATATATATATATATATATATATATATATATATATATATATATATATATATATATAGGAGAGGGGCCGGTGCTGATGATCGTATGCTTGTGAGTATACTTTTTTTCTTTCTTTGATATGTTGACATCAATCGAATTGAAGTCTTGCCACAATGATTGTTGCATCACTAATCAAAGCACAAGCTCGGGTTCTGCCTAGGCTCAACCACTTGGGCTGGGTCAACTGATGAGGTCGAGTAGCTAGACACGACCGGGTAGATGGTCCTCCGACCCGACCTGGCTGCCTCGGGCAAAGCCTACTGTTGGGGCTCGGCCGCGGTTGGGTTGGGCTACAAACTTAGCTTAAAAGAAAAAGGAACGTAAAATTTATTTGAGCAACCAATCCTTGAGGTTTATTCTCCTTCTTTTTAACATGAGGAAGCATCGTCAATCACCAAGCCACAAGGGACTCATTGCTTGCTTGTCAACACAAATCTAAGAAGGGAGTCCCGTCCGCCTTGAGCCTAACTCCATTGCAACTCTGATAAGTCAACGACATCCATCCCGCTGCTATCCTATCTAACTTCCGCATAAATATAACTTAGATGGAAAAGAGAAAATCTTGATTTTCATAAATTATTATAAGATGCTCGGGTCGAATAAGGAGAAAAATCATCATTTCAAGTCACAATGTGAGGTTGACTAAAGCTTCATATTATATAATTAAATTAATAAAAAAATTAAGATATTCATATTTTCATTATATTATATCCATTTTAAAGATATATGATCAAACTTAGGAATGTCCAGTGACATGAAAAAAGAATACTTGCATTAGTGTACATGGAATGAAAAAAGAATACTGCTTGCTATTCTGTATGCAAAGTTCTGATAATTGAAATAAAACCCAACCAAGAGTTGAAATGGAAACATTATGTACGAAAGAAAACAGACGGAGAAGGCAAGTGAATCTTCCATCATCATTGACGACCACCACCCAAGCAGTATTTACGGCCACCTGCATTGAATCCAATGAAGTCGAGCAAGTCCTTGCAAGATTTCTTCTTCAATTCCTTCGACGCTTCCCCTTCTGCGGTGCAGTGCGTCTTATGCACAGGATCATGGCTTTGAGTCGATCCGAAGCCTTCATTTCTCGTCTCCATAGCGCCTACTTTTTGGTTGGACGTTGCTGATGATGATGATGATAACAGGGTGTACTTGGCCGGATGCTTGTTTGACGCACACCGGAGAGGGAGCAGCGCCCTCAACCGCCACTTGCGACGCATAACGCCCTTGGCTAGGAAAGAAATAGGATCCTTGTCCTTCCCTGAACTCTCTCTTGTTGCCTCCACCATCGCAACCGTGAAGGGATCTTCTTCTTCTTCGTCGTCGTCGCTACGTTTGCTCTGGTGGCGAAAAGACCATAACCTTCTCGTTCTAGGGGGCCTCGGAGGCCGCTGAGAGGAGGTGGCGCCGCCTCCGTGGTCCACGCTTTGGAAGTATAGGCGAGGAGGAGGCTTCAATGGCAGAATTATTTTATTCTCAAAGACCTCATCAGTTGCAGCTACCGCCGGCTGTTCGTACTGATTTCCTCTGAAACCCAAGTCAAAGTCGAACTCGCTGCAGCGGTTATCATTTCTGAAGCTAAATTCACACTTGGGAGTGCCAGGCTTCTCCTCCCAATTGAAAGGGACACCGAAGGTGGCAGGGGATTCCGAGGGAGAAGGACAGATGAGGTGGCTTAAGTGTGCATAGGTGGAACCGGCGGAAGCCGAGCTGGCAGGCGCACTGGTGCAGCGGGAGTACATGTTGAAGGGGTGGTCGAGAACCTCCTCCGGGCTCGATGAAGCACCGTCGTCAGGGATGGTACTGGTGGCCATAATGCCCAAGTCCGAGGCTTGGGCGGCTACCACCACCACCTTCATATTCGTCATTACCTTCTCCTTCGATGCACTGTGGCTTCGAAAGCTTTTGCAGATTTTAGGAAGCAGGAACGAGGGATTTCAGGGAAGAGGGGAGGTTGTGTCTTGACATACCAATATCCATCTACCAACACTCCGATATTTGAATCCATTCAAGCAGATCATTAGAATTCGCTTTTGGTTCTTCTAACCAAATGACGTCTCTTGGTTCATTTTCCAGAATTTGGTTAATTCCTACGTTGGCGGTTCATTGAACATAATGATAAAAGATATGCTCGATTCTTCTAGTGATATTATATGGAACACGATGGGAGTAATGTCAACGCGCTTTCAGGGAAAGAGCGAGTACAAGGTGTCACGCTCATATAGTCGTCAGCCTTCTTAGAAAGCACACGAGACAGATTTGAGAGGTATGAAACAAGAGGAGGGGTCCTAACGTATACAATGCTGTTTATTTGCTAATTGAGGCCTTTGAGGCAACTTCATTCCACAACAAGAGGGATTCTTAACAAATATATACTCTCAGTTGATGCTTGCTATACGACACTACCCATTGTGGTCATGGGGACTCCATGAGAAGCTAACTAACTCAGATGTACCATTTTTCATAGAGCTTCTGAACATGCAGCAAAACAAAACAACATTTCTTTAAAATACCTAGATTTGTCATTTGCATTCTCTGTCTGGAGTTCATTTTCCCCTTCAGGTCTGTACCGTTCCAACAATCACCACTGACTTAATACTAAGTTTTGGCTGTGCAACTTTATCAAAAATTTATACTTTGAGCAACAACAAAAAATGAAAAAGCTACATAAGATTTTCCTCAAGTAAAGGAGGAGATATTTCATGAATACACAAATGATTGTTGGACCAAAGACTAAAGAGGCAATGGGACGCAGATATCAGCAAAGACAATTCAGTCATGTAAAAGTATGTGAAAACCCCCCAACCATGTGCACATCCTATACAATAATGTAAATGGGCGAACTTGAATGAGTGGAGAGTTGACGCAGTTCCAGAATGATTCTCTAGTATGAGGTGGCTCTTGGTGGTAGATAACAAGCACTGATAGGGGTGACAACAGATCAACGAATTGTATAGATCAACAACTAATGTTCATCCATCTGAAGAATTAGCTTCAAATGATGGTAGTTATTACCATGGCAGATGACACCTCCACAGGTCAATGAATTGGATAGATCAACAACTAATGTTCATCCATCTGGAGAATTAGCTTCAAACGATGGTACTATGGCAGATGACAGCTCCACATGTGATACCCGAACAGCACCAATAAGCCGTTCCGGAAGCTCATCATAAGTGTTTGCCTGTGAAAGAAAAAATATACTAATCAAGAGAACAAATGTAAAAAATATTAGAAAATTTTACTGTATCACAGTTTTCTTTCAAGATAAAAGGAATTAGTTCATGCTTCAAATGTTCTGAAATCAAACCTGTAAACTTAATGCTAATGTCCTAGCCAACGTAATTATCACTAATTCAGAAGTTTAACTTGCAGTTTAAACTCAACAGAACCAGCTCCATATAGTTAGGGTATTCATTATTGTAGTTGTTTAAGACAAGGCAACCAAGTTAACCATCTAGCCAACTATAACTGAAAAAACTAGAAAAGAAAATTGAGATCTACCAATGCACATGGACACCCTACATATTAAGATATTGTTGGATACAGCAAACAGACCAAACATCATCCAGTTTATTTAGCATAAATAGCTCAAATGCACAACATGCAGTGAGAAAAGTTAAACTGCAGTGTCTCTTAGGATGAACCAATACTCTAATTTTTCTACTAAAATTCTGTAGTTTACTAACAGAAACCTTTATATACATATGATGCATTTGCCAGACTGAGAAAGCTAAAGCTAAAAATGCAATCTTCTGGGTCAGTGCTTGACAACTAAGATTCACAAGTGAAACATGTTATGTTTTGTCTCCTTGTGCTCCTTATGACTTCTGAACCAGGAAATGACTTGTGATGTGTACGAGACAATCAAGAAAATAAGATTTCCACTCAACGAACGAATACCTAATTTGGAATTAGGTACATTTTTTGCAGGATTATGCAACCAGTGACTTTCAATGTAATATAAACCTGTACATGAAAATTCAATGGAGATTGTCTTGAAAATGACTCATAGAAGGCCACTTTTAACAACAAAGTACCATATCTCCCTCCCTCTACCTACTGATGTCTGTTAATAGCACCAAATCAAATACTGCTAGCATACATTTGTGGTAGAACATCTCTTGGTGCAAGTAACATGATAGGAGAATTCAACTTGTCCTTTCTTGAGAAATGCCAACAATAGAAAAGCAATGATGCCTTAGTATGACATGGTGTATTTACTAAAGAAAAAGAAGTACCTGCACAAGAAAAGCCATGTCAACTACTAATGTTGTAATCACACCAAAAACAATTCCCAATACCCCATTAGCCACTGTAGAAGAACCAATATCAACATCGATCTGCATGAGGGATTAATTACCGTCAGGCATCACACACATATTAGGCCTCATTTATAATTGATCTTTTCTCCAACAATGTGCCAATAGACATTAAAGTTTATATAGTTTGCTGTCCTGTAACTTACTTCGAGGTATTCTGATCCACGAATGTAGGTACAATCAACTGCTTTGCCTAATAAACATGGAGTGCTTCCAACACTCTGACGCACAATCCAGGAGCCCTGCATAGAAATATACTTTGAGTGAAAAAGCAATGCAACATGTCATGGGGAAGCCTACAGGCTCACATCTGATTCAAGCCCGTCTAAAGGAGTGAGAATTAAATATCTTCAAAAGACAAATAAAATTGGTGGTGTTCTTTGATTACTGATGCAGATTTGATCCATTTGTGTAGGATAGAGTATTAAAAACTTCATGAATAAGATGAAGACCTTAGGAACTGCTGGAATAAGCTTGAACCTACTGTTTCGGAACTCATCATCACCGTCAACAAAAAGCTGCAGTAATGATCCAGGAACCAATGGTTTTGACACAAAGTAGAATACCATACTGTAATGAGTTGAAGCTGGAACCTGCAATAACATAAATTCCATTTGTCATGCTGGCTCAGACACCACAAAAGAAAACAGCATTAGCATTAACAGAAAATCCAATTTTTGCCTACAATCTGCAGACCTGTTTGGAGATACTGTCTCAAAGAAACTACAACCCTGGCATTTATCTTTATAAATGCATGCAGACAATGTGTACACGGGTCTGGGAATATTTATACTCCTGTCAAGGTGATTTACTCCTAAGCGAGAAACAGGATGGAGTTTTAAAATGCACAAGAATAATCTCAAGAATATGAGCTTATTAGCTTTCACCCAGAAAAGAGGCTATGAAACCCAAAATAAAAATCTCTGAGATGCAAGAGAATTTTCCTGGCCCATAGGCCTTTTATGATGATGACCGATGCATTCACATAAGGATCGCAAGACTATAATTGAAACTTTGAAATATCTTAAGATCTTAGCAATTCTACAAATATCATTTCAAGAATACATCAACAATCACAATTACTTTATTGCACTACTCAAGTAGGAGACGAGTCAATTCATATCAAAAGAGTAAATAACAAATAAATTAGTAGTTACTTACTTGCACATTTATCACCAAAGAGAACAGTCCCTTCTCTGAGGCCACCTACATTTACAAAGTAGAACTAAGAACTGATAGACAGAATAGAAGATATGAAGCTTTATTGAAAAAATAAAGAAGCTTTATTGAAGAAGCTTTAGCTTGAATGCATTAGCATGTCCCTCTCCTATTTATAGGGATTAGGAGGGAAGATTTTCCTCAATAGAATAGAGGATTTTCCTCAACAGAATAGATAAGATTTCCTCATATAGTTGAAGAAATCTTATCTTCTATCATGCCCCCGCAAGATGGTGCTCCTGACAAGGATACCAATCTTGGATCGATGCAGAGCATATTGCTGCTGCTATTGTTGTTGCTATAGTTTTGACGTTTTTTTCTTTTGCCGTCAGAGATGGAGAAGCAACAATGATAAGTCGGCAGCGAGAAGAGAGCTTGCTCTAGGCAAGTGGCTCTGATACCATGATAAAAAGAATAGAAGATAAGAACAATAATTGAAGAAGCTTTATTGTAAAAATTAAATAATTTTAGCTTAAATATATTAACATGTTCCCTCTCCTATTTATACATATTAGGAGGAAGGATTTCCCTCAACAGAATAAACAGAATAGAGAGATTTCCTCATATAGTTAGGGAAATCTTATCTCCTATCAAGTTGGGGAAATCTTATCTTCTATCATATAGTTAGGGAAATGATAGAAGATAAGATTTTCCCAACTTGATAGAAGATAAGATTTCCCTAACTATATGAGGAAATCTCTCTATTCTGTTTATTCTGTTGAGGGAAATCCTTCGTCCTAATATGTATAAATAGGAGAGGGAACATGTTAATATATTTAAACTAAAGCTATTTCATTTTTACAATAAAACTTCTTCAATTATTGTTCTTATCTTTTATTCTTTTTATCAAGAACCTAGTAATGGAACTCAAATTTATCTGCAAAATGAATGATATGAGGACATATGGAAACCATATTACAAAAGTCATTAGATAAAAAATTTGTAAACTTCTAAAATGGATTCAAATAACAAAGTTATTTTGGTTAGAATATCCCCTAACAGAAAAACCAAAATTCCTTCAGAAAACAAGAATATTGAACAAGTTGAATAATATTTCATACAGAAATCATGAAGAAAGTAATTAATGTATGTCATTATCTTCACTAGATAACAAACCATGGTTAAATATAGTCCACTGATGATCCAGCAAAGTAAAACACTAGCATCTGGTAATTGCTTTCAACCAACTCTGGCATAGCAGATTAGAGGTATTAACCTTCTAAAAAAGTGATCCCTGTAAACATGTATCACAATATACATCATGACCAGTTTATCCTCTTGAACAGTGAGCACCCTTAGTGTGTATATCAGGCACAAACCTTCTACCT